AGCTAAGAAATCTTCGCTTTCCAAAAATCTGATCGAGGAAAAACCCGCGGAAAACTGATGTTTACTTTTCCATGCTTCATTTCCTACGCGCGCTGTGATTGGCTTTTCATATACAAAAGGGGCTCTGACGTCACGAACACGACTTCGCACAGAGTATATCGGACGGGAGAGGGCGGGAAGCGAAAGGGACTGCGAACGACCTCGGACGTCTGAGAATCAGGCTAGTTTAAATGCCACGCAATACAATTTTTCGTTACACCGGTAAGCGACCACCGGGCATGATCACGTGTGATTGTAACAAAACCGTTGCTCGAATGTCACAAAAGTTCATTTTTGAATAGTGCTGACCAAGTTAGCTGACAGATTATAGCAGTTGACATGTACAAAGTTGTTTGTGGGATAGAGGTAGGGATTGGGCATGTGTGTATTGAAAAAAACTCAACAAATGCGGAAGTGTCCATGTTGTTCATGATTATAGACGTGACAAATAAACGAAGCGATCAGTTGACAAAGCAAAAAGATTGAATCGTGACATATGAAAAGATGATTCCACGGGCGCACGCGCTGTGACTGCTCTTTAAGAAATGCTTTTGCATCATAGTAGTAAGTTGCGTAACAAGCAGGTATGGAACTAGCATTACCGTTTGGAAACTACTGCGGTGACCTAACAAGTTGCTGCTTTAATTTAATGCCTGCATAATGTGATCGAGGCATTACACTCGCAACTTTCAAGTCTTTAATTTCAAACTTAGAAGACGCCCTGGAACGCAAGAGCCGACTAAACAGACGGGAATGAACACGTAAACTTGAGAACATTTGAGGGATGGAAAAACTTATACAGATTAATCCTACCTAAGAGACTGGGAAGGAGGAAAGCAAACTTTGTTCTTGGTGCTCCATTCATTCCCAGGCTGCATGCACAAGTCTCCAAAAGATGACAAATGTTAGTCTGCAAAAAACATGTCAATAAATCCATTGAAAGAGACACCTGAGAGCTGAACGTTTTGAGCCCAAGTGAATAACTCGCTTAACAGGCTCCAGTCTTGGTCCTATTGTCTTCAGGTGTTGAGGCATTGTTCCAACGCAGAGTCTTTATGTAAATGCAGTTGAGTTCAGGTGTTAAGGCATTGTTCCAACGCAGAGTCTTTATGCGAATCCTGTTGAGTTCGACCAGAACCTGACTTGGCCTAAAAATATCTTCTTGAAATACACCATGCAGCCATAAACCATCCAGTTCCTCTCTATGTTGTTTCTTGATCCTAGGTTCAGCTTCATATGTATTCCCAGTATTACAATTTACTCGACTAGCGGTAAAAATAATAAGAATGAAACAGAGCCAAATGGCACGTCTGCACCTCATTACGTATGGTAACGGAGGAAGTTGCCTCCCTTCTCACTCCTATATACAATGAGATAATATCGCGGGGTACGTGGCCGGAACAGTGAAAGTGGGAAGAATGAACGCCTGTATTTAAGAAGGATGACGCGCTCAACAAATGCAATTATAGACCTGTTACTGTGTTGGTAACAGTGGATAAGGTGTTCGAACAGCTACTCGCGGGACAACTCGAACTTCTATCTAACAAAGTCTTTGACGGCTTGAATTTAGCACACAGTAAACGATATAGCTGCGAAACTACGTTAGTGCGACTGGTCGAAGACTGGAAGAGGTCTCTTCACAACAACCACACAGTTGGGGTATCATCTACTGACATGAGCAAAGCTTTTGATTGCTTATCCCCTGACCTGGTGCTTTCAAAGCTCCAAGCTTATGGTCTATGTTGCAACTCCTTGGCTATTTTAAAGTCCTATTTTACTAGCAGGAAAAACAGGGTAAGACTAGGCGACACCTGTGGAGAGTGGAAAGCAGTCAAACGCGGATGCCCCCAGGGGTCATCACTTGGCCAGGTGTTGTGGAATTTGTATCAAAATGATCTGTTTTATGAAAACATTCGATCTCAACTAAGTGCTTACGCTGACGACCACCAAATATATATTTCGGGTGAGAAGATTGACAACGTCGTCAGCAGTATTGAGGAGGACGGGAATACAACTGGTCGCTGGTATAAATCCAGCTACCTCTCGGGTAATCCATCAACATATCAAGTACTGGTTATGTCAAGAGCGAAGGAGGAAGTTAAGAAAGCGGTGCCCATCGATAGCCATACAATTCGGCAGGCTCAAGAGATTAAACTACTGGGGGTGATACTTGATGTAAACCTACAGTTCTTAGAACATATTAAGCAAATTTGCACCAAAACAAGCAGAAGAATTGGCGTGTTATCTAGATTAAGGAATCTGATCCCCACAACAGCAAAACTAACAATCTATAAAACAGCCGTTATGCCACACTTCACATACTGTAGTCTCGTTTGGCACTTCTGTAAGGCTAGCGATAAGCGAAAACCGGAGTGCATTAACGAAAGGGGCCTGCAAACAGTCTACAATGACTGGTCCGCATCGTACGGTGACCTCCCAAGCAAAGCAAAAATGACAACACTTTATAATCGCAGGCTTCAGGATATAGCCATTTTCATGTTCAAAATAAAGCATGGCATGTTGCCAAGCTCAGTAACCGAACCATTTAACACCAGTCACAAACTATAACCTCAGAAACGCAGACTTCAGACAGTACTGTTTCAACACTACAAAATACGGCAAACACTCTCTCAGGCAGTTTGGTGCAAAATCAACCGGGAGCTAAGGTCAGCACCTACACTCAGTAACTTTAAAAAAGGCATCAGAAAGACAGACATTGCCTCATTAACAGATGACTCGTGTAACGACTATGTCCTTTGCAAGAGTTAGCATTAGTTCGCCTCACCATTTTACTCTTTTTTAGAGTTACTCAATTTACCATTGAGAGATATTATTTGGTAGTTGTTTATTAGGACTAGAATTTAGAGTTTAAATTATAATTAGAATTTACAATACATTACTAGAGTTTTATATATATGATTCAGTCTGCCCAATTAGTAAGGCACTGTGCCTGAGCTATAAGACATGAGAGTTTAATAAAGTTCATTATTATTATTATTATTATTATTATTATTATTATTATTATTATTAATCGCTTATAAAGTTGAAGTAGCTTCCATTTGACTAATCATTTCACTTTAATTCAAAGGAATTCGAAGGTGACAGACGGCAAATAATTGTTGCTGGAAATGTTTTTAATCTTTGGCTAAATTACAGAAAACACCTGCCAAATCTTTATTGTTACAATTGATGTGAGCCAAATTTTGAGAAAAGCAGAAGGATAATTTAATATTTCGTGATCAATTTCCTGGAAAAATAGTTTAGAATCCATTTTATAGTCCGGCAGAAATGATTACTTTTTGCTGTGAACCTTGCAATTTGGTATATAGTTTTTTTAATGCTCTAGCAGCTTGCCTAGGACTCCTAGTTTACTGATCCATCAACTGACGCTCTTGCAATATTGGGGGAAATTACTCTTCACAGCTATTTCAAAGTGCGACTCGCGCCACCATTTCAACAATTGAAACAAAAGAGGATCATCAACATAATTTATTCAAAGTTATTGAAAACCGCACAAATGTATGTGGCTCCTTTGTTTCAACCGGCAAATATTAATATTCAAGCTTTTCAGGACAAATAAGTCACCCTGGTAAGTCATAATTCCCAGCTGTTTGACTGAACAGACCGGTCAAAAATATAAATATTGGTGAAATGGGGCCTCACAAACTGCAGTTAAGAAATAAAATTGTAATCCAAGATTTCGCCGATCATCGCTGGTCAAGAAAAAGAATCCCATGTTTATGAGGGATGATTCTAGCGCCACTCGTTACCAATATAAACTCATGACTACCTCATGGAAGAACTAGAAGAAAGGCAGCTGAGAATACGACCTGAAAAAGCGGCACATATAGAAAAAAGGGGCACATTGCAGCTGACACGCAAGACAGCCTAGCTATTAAAAGAAAGCTGAAAACAAGCATTAATCCTTTTAATCCCGATGCTTAAAGGTGACATTGGTGTACTGGGAAGTCATCCTTACAAGGTACTTATTACTGGCCAAGATGAAGTCGTGTCTGTAGACGATTCCCCAGGATTTGAAATAATTAGACAGCTGACCTCAAGACAAACCACGAAGCAGACACAATCGTCACAGCACCAGCAATGTAATTGGCACTGGAAGAGAAGAACAAAGCAAAAGACACAGATAAGTGTCTGTTCTGCTGCTGCTGTACCATTACCTTGATAGAGGGCTAAACATCCCCTTGGTGATGCAGTCACCTAAGAAGGACAAAGCTGAACGGATGGGGACATAACTGTTAACGTAAAAAACTGTGCCAGCCCAATACCCGACATGTACTCAGCCCATGCACTTCCAAGGTGCAACACTGGCCACCTCCAACTGTATCCCCCATCGGAAAGGGTAAGAGGTTTAAAATTTTTTAGTGAGGGAAATGCAGCTGACGTCTTCTTGGCAATAAAACTGGTGACTTTTACGATGTATTTCTCCAGTCCACAGCTTTTGCCTTGGCATGACATTTGGAAAGTTTGAAAAACAAAGACAGGAAGCAAAGAAGCAGCTAAAACTACACCCAAACTGTACCCTTTGTCTTCAACAACTGAACCTTACAAAGGGAACATCAAAAAAGTACACTACCGTAGAGTGATTTCGGCAGCATTTGGAAGTACCGAATGCAGATGTCAGCTGGCGGACTTGCACCGTTCGTATCGCAGGCACGACCTTAGTTTTACATGTAGATTGTTTGTAGCCTGCGTAGCAAGAGTTTCCGCGCAAGTTTGTCGAGAAAGTTGGGGGCAAGAACAACTTTCAATTCTCGACAAACTTGTGCGGAAACGCTTGCTACGTAGGCTACAAACAATCGTACTTCCAGCATGAAACGAAAAGCCCTGAGTCTACCAGTGCTGCATCTGAAGGCGCACCTTACAGCAGCAACCAGACTCTGAGCCCACGGATTATGGCGGGCCGGGGAAAGGGTGAGGTATCTTTTTTATCTTTACAGCCC